TTGAGGATTTTCAAGGGACAACCCGTGGGCTGCTGGTGGTCACTGGTTCTTCCTCTATGTCTACTTTTGCCCTACACAATGGTTCCCAGTTTCTTTTAGCCACCTGGTGTCCTTCAAAAGCTTCTTAAAACGGACAATGGTGCACAAAATAGAAGATATAGGAGGGGAGCCAAAGGAGGGCTCTGCAGTTATGTATTTTCTCTCGATTTTTTTCACTTGACAGAAGTAGCCTGGGAGAGAGAATAAAATGTTACTCATGTGTTACTAATATAAGCCATGTGTGTGGTACACTGAAGACCCTCCTGCATCTCTTCCCTGGGACTGCATGAAGCATCCCCATGAAGCTGCTGGCTGTGCCTGAGCAGATGCTTGCAGCCTTGTTGTATGGATGATTTGAACTAGGGAGGAGGGCAGGGGGGACCAAGACTGTCCTGCAATCAGTACTGATCATTCCAGCTCTTGGAAAAGTGCAGGGCAGTAGTAGCGGCTGTCAGGGAGGCGAGGTGAGAGGCAACTGGAAAGAGACAGATACAGGTCAGGAGTGGGGAGGGAGAGACTGCTGGTGGATGAAATATCCACTTCCACCACCAGCCAGGATCTGTCAGGGTGCTCTCGCAACATACTGCACAGACTGGGCTGTTGTGAGGTTTGCAGCCTGGCATCCCCACAGGAGCTCTCCCTCTAGGATCAGGATATGCAGTCCTCCTGCCCTCCTGCAGAGTTCCACCTGGCCATTCTGCGGAACATGTCCTTGATACTATAAACAACATCATTCAGAGAAATACTCTCCACACCCTGTGTCAATTCTTATTCCTTGTGCACAGTCTGTATAATAATGGCCTTTTTGCAACGCACGCTCTGCAGCAACAGATACTGCTGCCAGAAGAGGAAAATCCGTGACACTTTTTGGTTATGAGTACCCTGTCTCATGTCTCCCAGAGATAAACCGGTCCTATCCCCGGCCTGCTCTGTAGATGGCGGTGTGCAGTTACTTTCCGTGGCATGTTTACCTATTAGCTGCTTCCTTGACATTTGCTTGAAAACGGCTTTGCTCAGTAAACAGCAAAAATGATAACATCGGAGACTATATTTAAACACTATAAATTTCATATCTGAAATAGGAGTATTTGTTAAGTGTTTGCAGTAAACTTTAGAGTATCATAAATCCAGCTGTTTTTATAGGTCAGATCCCAGAAGAAATCTAAGCAAAGAGACGGAAATGTAGATAAGCAAATGAAAATTTCCTCAGGCTGTTGTATATAAGAATAATAAGTAACACTTAGAAGTAAAGTTATTAATTCCCCAAACACATGACTACATTCAGTCTACATGAATACTTTAAGTCAAATTCAAAACCTAAATATTTAAAGTCAACACTACTGCTCTCCAAAATAACTAACGTGTTCACCAAAACATTCTATGAATCTACTCATAGTTCTTTAAAGATTTAGTCCTTTTTAGGTTTTCTACATGGCACTGTATAGCCTGTACTGGTTCTGCATTCAAAAATATCTTCCTACACAATTTTTTCTTTGAGTAACAATCGGGCTTCACAACTGTTTTGATTCAGTGATACAATTAATTTATTTTTTGCGTCACTGAAGTACAGTTGATGCCAGCCAGGAGGGTTTGGAAGCTGGGCTTCAGGATTGGCATCTGATGACTACAGCTAAGCATGTAGGTGAGCATAGGGTTTCGTTTGTTCTCCCAAAGGTTTTATCTCCCAAGAAGGAAAGTTGATGTGGAGACTAAGACAGGAAAGGACAGAGTGTTCATGGGGTTGTCTGGCTTGAGCATATATCACTCCCAGGCTGACCCAGGAGCCCCTAACAAGTCAGTAGGTCCAGTGTTGCTGTAAAAGTATTTTTCTCTCCATTCCAGCAGAGACGTAAGCAGAAGGGATATTAGGAGAGATGGCTATACATCACATTAGTGGCTGCCCACTGGAAGTTCTCCAGTGAAAAATCTACTCTGGATGGTTAAGCACTGCAAACCAACCCAATCCTTCTCAAGCTGAGGCCTGAGCAGCAGCAACCTTGTGCTAATGACCATGAGCTACGACTGAATTCATTGTTATTGCACTTGCTCACAAAGATGGAGGTGCAAGAGGTCCAGGCCCCTCAGGGAGCAGACACAGTGTTTGAAAGTCACTACTTGCTGTAGTGAAAACAGTGACAGAAGAATTGCTCATATACACTGTGCCAGGGGACACAGCCCACCTTGCAGGCACCTCCAGCAGTGGAAAGGCTCACACCTGGCAGCTGTTCATACAATGGAAGGTGCCATAGGAAGCAAGCACATGCATGCCTGAAAATACAGGGTAATACCATTTAGAGAGCACATTCAGAGTTCTATTTAGACACTTTATAGGACTTCCACTTCTCTGTACCATTTCAGAAAAAAGGAAAGCCTAATGAAGACAACTGCTTGATGTTCATCTGCCATCAAAAAAATTACTAGCAAAATATTTATGTCACCAAATGCTAATTTCTTCAGATGTGAAATGTCTTAAGTGCTTTGGGAAATCTGCTGTTTGTAGGAAGTGTTAAGAGGCCATACCAAAGACAGGACAAATACAATGAACGAACAAAACACAACTATCTTTTAAGAACATGCAATGATATAAATGCAAACCTGGATGGGTGGTTCTCACCCGGGTGAAATGTAGCCTGAGGAAGCAGGTTTGGAGGACCTAAACCAGAGGAATTGAGGGAATGCGTCCATATTCAAGGATGCAGAATTTGGCCCTGTTTTTAGCATTGGAAAACTGCTATTTAATGCCCAGATTAAATTTGTAACAGCAGTAATACAAGCATTTTAAAAAAAAATTCCTGTTTGCACTATTAAAATATTTAATAAAATTATCTAATTTGTTGATGGCTAAAGTGTAAGGGACCAGTTTGGTTTACCAGGTTTAGTGCTACAAAGGAATTATTCTTTTAGATCCTTGCTGATGAGTTATTTGGGTACAACTTTTATGTGTAATAAGCAAAACACTAGTGGTAGATAATAATATATCCTAAAGAACTAGCTCTTGCTTAGTTCTGTAAAGGATGCATCTTACTTAAGGCTAAAATCACTCTATAACTAGTCCATCTGGAGATTTCTTTTTTCATTAACTGTCAGTTATTCTCATGCTTTCATTTCATAATAACAAAAAAGGAAACTGCATACTTTTAAACTTATGCATATGATTATTAGGCACTCTGTTAATTAAGCACTGAAACAGTGCCCTCATATTCAGCATTATTTATTTTGGAGAAAAAGAAAAAAAGCACTGGTATGTATTCACCTTTTCTTGTTGAATATTTGTATTTTTTCTCAGTGTGAGTGAAAAAAACCAACAGTTGTCTTCATTCATAAGCACATTTTCTTTCTATGCTTTTGTACACTCAAATGTCATGTTCTCTCATATCCTTTCACTTTTTTTTGGTCATTGATTCTGTTGCAAGGAAAAAGAAATGCACACTGCTGCAGAACCAAGAGAGTCTGACTGATGATATCTCTCTCCTCTGACCTTTCGTTGCACTATCCATTAATATGACTGTTTGGGGGATTAGGGAATTGCCTGGCAATAGCATACTGATCTCTCGAGCTCTAGCTGGTAAGCTTGGCACTGTTTAAGAATGGTTACAGCAGTTAAGATTGTTAGAAAACAAAGTTATTTAATAGCAATAATTCATTCTTTTCTCTGCAAGTTATAGAGAAGGAACTATGTGCCAAATTACAACTGATTAACAGTTTTCAGGTGCAATAGTGGTCAAAAATTTTTCAAATTTTTTTTGGCTGTCAAAACATGTCCCCATGTTCAGTGCTTTGAAAACAGCTGTTAGAAATACAACAGAACAGTCACTTCTACACTTTATTTTTTACTTTTTGTTTAAGGTTTGTATTGGCTCTTGCTCTATTAATGGTTGGTGTAACTACATATTGGATTTTTTTAGAATTGAGCATTTTTGCTTGTAGAATTTGTTTCTGAATTCAAAAGCACAGGAAATTCTGGTTTAAAAGAAAATTAAACACCTCTTCACAAAACCTTGTTTGGTAACCATAAGACAGGTTATTTTTAGGCACAGCTGGAGTAAAGGTGATTGCACATCCCATAAGATCACCAATTCCTATCTCTCCTAGACATCTGTCCTTGCTCTTCTACTCCTAACAGCTCTGTGCGTGCCTCAATGCAGAGACAGAGAGCACCACTGTGGTTGTATAGAAGAGATACATTCAGTGCATGTAAGTTATTGTATGTGAGCAAATCTCTTCATCTTTCATTGTGGTCTCCACAGAGCTCATGAGTAAGGCAAGTGATCTTCTGAAGGATAGGTGGGCGTTGGCCAGGATAATATGTTCCTTGAATAGGGATGTCTGCATTGCTGGTTTGAAAATAACTTCTGCTCTTTATGTCTTAGGAGGAGAATGATGATTTCTGAAGTTTGAGCCTAACTCCTCCACCTAGCAGTGCCACAGATTTCAGATAAGCAACCATTACTGCGATATGTGTGTACATGGATCAGGATACCAGTAATCCAACATTCTGCTTCTTGAGTGAGCCCTAAGGCACTTAAAGCATGATTAATCTCACTTTGACAGTCATTAGGCTGAGATAGCCTGACATCTGTGTTTGTCTCCAAAAACTGCTTTCTCAATGGGTTACCTGTGGGCAAACGTAAGTGGTGCTGCCTTTAACAGCTGGCCCACATAACCTTACCCCTCCAGTATTCCTGAGACACTTCTAGAAACATGGTGATAATCCTGACTGGTGTGGAAAACCATGCAGTGCTGGTCAAATCCCAGAAAAAAATCATAAAAAGTTGACTGTCAGAGCTGCCGCCCCCAACCCAAAACAGATCAGAAATATCCCTGCCTCCCAAACACAAAAGAATAGTGAAAAAGAAGCAAGGCAAAAGAAAGAAGAAAAGCACCATGTTTTGCCTTGTTTCAGTTAACCAAAACACACTTTATGGGATTCATGGGTCCATCTTAATTTGCTGATATAGGCAATGGGACGAGGCTCTGCAGTCAGAGGAGGAGCAGAGACGCAGCTGGAGCCTCCTTTCTGGGACGTGCGGCTGAGTCTGCGGCACATCCCGGTGCTCCTGCCAGCCCTTCCAGTCTGGGAGATGTGTGTGGCCTGGCAGGTGACATAGATGCCTGTGGCCTGGCAGGTGGCTCTCCCAGCAAAGCGGCTACAGGAAGGGTGTTTTCTCAACCAGCCAAGAATAAGGATATCGTTTTAAAGAGCAGCATACAGGATTTTATTCAACGCAGTCCTTATGTGCTTGATGAAGCAACTCACGTAGCTAAAGGGCTTACAGTTTAGATAGTATATTATTTTGATTTTATTTTTAAAAGGAAATCTGCTTGCACCAGGCTGTTTTTAGAAGCTGGTAACTCAACTTGTCCCTTTTGTTCTTCGAAACTCAAAGTAAAATTTAATGAAGAGCCAGGGTGAAATGACCAAGATATAACCTGAGCTTATCTATCATTGCCCTAGTCAAGACAAAAGTGTGACATTATTTAGAAGTGTTTGGGAGATCAGAAGTCATTTAAGAAAAATTGTTTGATCTTACACAGAGGCAAATGAGGAGTACTATAATGTGTTCTCCCCATAGGTTTGCTGTTGAGACAGTAAGAAAAGCCTGGTAAATAATAAAATGTTAAACTACAATGAAATTATCTTCTCTGCCTGTTACATGAATGATATCAACTTCATTAGTTCTAATACTAAGCTTTATAAACAACAACAGTTAAAATATTAACTATATGAGCTTTTAAAAACAGTATTTCTCATTCAAAATGAACATGATATAATTAAGTTGATGACATATCACCTGGAAGCTGGAAGGCTTCAGCTAAGAATAAATAATAAGCAAAGTTAGCAAAGGTACTTTGCAGGAACACTACCCCGTCCAAAAGTGAGCAACTTGGAGCCACCCAGTGTCCTCAAACTGCAGATGAAGGGTGCTCATCAACAGTCTGCAACTGTTTTTCCTGTATTCTTAATTATTTGCAGGTTTAGTTTAAAGCAAATGCCATAAATCGGTGCAAATGAATCTGCTAGCATGTTAAAGGATGTGGTTGTCCAGATGCAACCTTTACAAAAGGGAAGCAAAGTAAAGGCTTTTTGACTGTCTAGGTCAGAACAATCCCGCTCATCTCCTCCAGAGTCACAGCACATTCTGTAAACTGCATCAGTATTTCAGAGGAAGCAAAGAGTAAGACCAGAGAAGTCAGTTAAGACCTCAGCAGTTGATAGGAAAACTCCTCATGTATCTTCAAGTTTTCCAGGTTGGTAGTATTTGCAGAAGCAGTACTGCAATGTGCCTCTGACTTTTATTTGGCAGAAGTGAAATAACTCCACTTGAGTGATTGAAATGGTATTTATCCATACAAAAATAAACCAACCACACACACAGTTGCAATCCAATAATTAAGAAAATCTTAGAGGATTTTTCTTGCAGGATGGGGCAGTTTGGGATTCAAATAAAGAGAATGTTAATTGTGCCCGTTTGCAGGAGACACTGTATAGCTGCCACTACCTTACACAAGAGGGAAGCAGAGAGTAGCCTCTGCCTAACAACCCAAGCATTAGAGATGGAACAAGTAAGGAGAAATAAACCCAGCTCAAAACCTTCCTGATGTCTGTGGACTGGGATCCCCCTCAGTTTCCTTCCCACCCCCACCTCAGAACAATATCTCTGCAGTTCCTAGAGTAGCTTAAAATCTGAAGTGTATGTATATATATATATATTTATATATATCTCGGAAGGTTTTTTTTCAGACCACTTTTTTTTTTTTTTTGGAAGCTGATGAATTAATTAACAAAATCAACATATGAGCTGTGACATATTTACTCAGTGATTCCCACCAAATGTGGCAGATTTAAGAGGACGGCTCTGTTGTCCCTCTGTTCTCTGCACCTGAGACAGCTAAATGCACCATGAAGACCTTACTGAGCTCCTGTTCCAAGCCTCATCCTGGTCAACATAGAGATTCCTTTTGACCTTCCTGGAAGTTGGATTAGGCCTTTAAAAACCATACATTTTAAAACATTCCATGAAGGTTATGTTTGCTCTAAAACCACAGTGAAGTAAATGCAAAACTATATTAATATTTAACATTGGCTTAAAAAAACTAGGAACTTGTAGTCAGGACAGCCGGTAAAAGTTTAATTTACATCATCGTTTCAAAATGAAAACGCAGAAGAGAACAGAATATCACATTTTCACGTTCAAAATCTATTAGTTTTTCTTTAAAATCCAGTTTTGTTATTTCTAAAGCTATATCTGTTAAATAGCCATGAAAAATATTTCTCATTTATACAAATTTTTTGTTTACTTTTCTGATCTGGTGGTACTGGTTACACTTAAAGAAATCAAAATAGGGAAAAAAGGGTCAGAGGAAAAAAAAAGAAGAGAGTAGATTAGTTAAAAGAAAAACAAACACAAATATTGTGCTTGTGGACTGTATTTAGGGGTTGGCCAGAAGTCTAATGTCTTGATAGATGGTTCTGGGCGCACAGTTTTATTGCTGGTACACAGCACACTTTGTTCCTTTTATTTCACTAAACTTACCAACTCTGGAAATTAGTGACATGGGCATTCAAAATGTTGGACAAGTGGTCAGACTCTGATATACATATACATATTCATATTCAGTGGTAAATTATGGCAGGAAGTTCAGATACAGGAAAAATGAATTCTTTTGTTCAGCATGGCTTTAATATAATGCTTGTTTTGCAAGCACTTTCACTGTTGGAGCAGGAGTGCCTCTTAGATAGCACACAGGGGAGACATCATTTAAAGAAATGTTTCTTTGCTTGAACCAGAAGTCCAAATCTGCTCAGTTAATTCAAAATATTTTTTTCCTTCAGGATAAATGAATAAGCAGCTCCTTTTGTGGTTTTTGCTTGGTGACTTGCAATTATTCTTCCAGAAGAAAAAGGATTGGATGCTCATATGAACAGATGTGTCCCTCCTTCCCAGCCCCACACACACTCTCTCCCTTTGGAAAAAAAGGTGACGGGCCTCGTGTTTGACTTAAAGAGGCTAAAAATCTTCTGGGAATATGCTGCTATGTCTTTGAGTGTAAAAAGTATCCAGGAAGGAAAACAGGTTAAAAAGCAAAGGGTCCTTGCAACAAGTCGTGCGATGTGCTTTGTTTTTTAACCCTTAGAAATACAGGGCTGCTTTAATAAACTGCCAGTGCAGGAGACCCTTCTGCTTCGCGGCGTCAGGCTGGCGGGGAGGCAGGGGCACGTTTGGGTGTGCGGGACGGAATATTCCCGCACTCCAGCTCAGCCGGTCTCGCGCCGAGGCCAGGCACGGGGCCTGCCGAGAGGAAGAAGCCCCCAGAACGCTAAGGCTGACCTGGCTGCAGCCCCAATCCCTCCGCGCCCAGCCCCATCCGACCGGCAGGTAAGGAGCCGGGCCGGCCCAGCCGCGGGGCCCGGGAGGACAGCGAGGTGCGGGGCGATGTTGCGGAGCGGAGGGCGCGGAGGCGACAGGGACCGCGGCAGGTGAACGCAGGCGCGGCCTCCGCGGGGGCGGACTGGGGGGCCGGGTGTGCGTGTTGGGGAGCTGCCCCCAGCCCCGGACGCGGCGGCAGGAGGCCCGCACCGCACCCCGGGGCGCCCCTGCTCGCCCCGTCGGGGCGGGCGGGCAGCGGGGCGGCGGCGGTGGGAGATGGCGGGCGGCGGCGGCGGCGGGCGCTGGCGCTGCTGCTGCTGCGCTGCCTCCTGCGGGCTGCTGGCGGCGGCGGCGGGGCCAGCCCGGCGGCGGCGAGTACTGGCCACGGATGGGTAGACGGGCAGGGCGGCTACCATGAGGGCTTCCAGTGGCCCCGAGGGCTTCGACACGGCGGCCGCCACCATCTGCTGGCGGCTCCTGGCGCCTGCGCATGCTGCGCCGACCGCCGGAGGCTCGCCTGGAGCAGGGCGCGCACCAACGACGGAGAACCCCCCGACCCGGGGTCACCGCCCTGAGTGCCCGCCGCGCGTCGAGCGGGCGGGAGCCGGTCCCCACGGAGCGTCCCCGGCCCGAGCCTGGCTCCGGGCTCCCTGCCCCGTCCCATCGGGTGGGCAGGAGGCGGGCGCGGCTCCAGGGTGCCACGGGCGGCGGCGCCGGAGCGCGGCCGCGGAGCGGCCCCTGCGCCGGGAAACAGAGCGGGCACCCGGGGTGCGAGAGGGGAGGGTCAGCTCCGCGGTCCGAGGGCACCGGCTGCTGGAGGCATCTCGACTGAAAGGCACACTTATATTTTTATGTTCGCATCGGCAAACTTTGCTGTGCCTGTTTAACTTTGTTGCTCCCGGAGGTGAGAGTGGTGCTCTGCAGGCACAGCCCCACAGTGCGAGGGACCGTCAGTTTCCCAAACAAAAGGAATCCGGCAGCGCACACGGAGACTGGTTTCCCAAGTCAGACGTTCTGCGCTTATCTTCCACCTTTCGAATGGAAGTGATTTAACAGCATCTGCAGCATTTGAGCTTCGCCTGCAGATTCAAGGTGTTATATTAGACAGTCCCGACGGTCTGGGGAATGAGGGAGGAGGACAGGAGTGAGATTCTTGAGCAATGCCCAAGAACCATCAAGCAGAGCATGGTATAAACAGCTTTTACCTTTGGTAACTAGTAAAACTGTCAAAAGAAAGAAATTTTTATTTCCCTGGAACCTACAAGGTTTAAACTTTAATTTTGTTTCGGTGATAATGGTCGAAAGTTCTGTCTTCTGAGCAGCTCAGTACGTTAGTGGGACTGAAATGGGCGGCTTTGTAAACGCTGTGGAGTTTATATTTCTATACAGCAGACCTATTATTTCAGTAGACTAATTTGCACGGCTTTTCTTCTTCTTTCTTCTCCCAGAACCAATCTACGTTCCATTCCTCATTGTTGGATCAATATTTATTGCCTTCATTATTGTGGGCTCGCTGGTAGCTGTTTATTGTTGCACATGTTTGAGACCTAAACAACCATCACAACCAATACGATTTTCTCTGCGGAGCTATCAGACCGAGGCTCTTCCCATGATCCTGGCCTCCACAAGCTTCAGGACACCATCCAGGCAATCCAGTACCGCGACAAGTTCCAGTTCAACTGGCAGCTCAGTTCGGAGGTTCTCCTTCCCCCGGGCAGAGCCAGGGTGCCTTGTGGCATCACCACCTCCACCGTACACATCTGGCTGCTTCCAGACAGCCCACACAGTCCACCTGACCCAGCCAACCGGATTTCTGGTGTCACCACCGTACTTTGGGTATCCTCTCCAGCCTGAGCCTGCCCTGGCTGGGAAGAGCTGCTCTGATTTTACTCAGAGCTGAAAAGAGTTGTGAAGAAGTAACACAGCCTTCAGAAGCAGAGGGACTGCTGCCGGTGGGTGTCACACTGATGTGCTGTGTGGCTGTAGAAGTCAGAACTGTTCCCGTGGGTGAGTTGCCCTTGAAAAGTGCAGGGTCTCGCTTGGGATTGCATTTTCCAAACTTGGATCACACTTACAAATGAGCTGTAAAACATCCCAAACTGTTGCTCTAAAAATGGACTGCTCTGATCGCTCAGCCTAATTTGTGCAGAATGTGTTTAGAGACAAGTACCTTTTGGGATAAAGGTACTCATTTCACAGTGTAATAAATAACATTTTACTAGGGTAAAATGCAGTTAACTTAGTTAACAAACAGTGGCTGCATTCCACTGATAATAATCAGACTAGTTCTATAAAGCAGCAATAAGCCTGAGAAGAGAGAAGTAATACTTACTAAAGAGGATACCTGAAACAGCTGACTGCTTACTACTTCCATGAGCAATGAAAAGGAAGAATTTTATTAGATATCAAAATGCACAGATTTTTAAAAAATACATATACCTGAACTTACACTGCATATTTGTAATAGTACACTTTAACTATGATAGATGAAACTAGTACTAATTAGGCTAGTTGAAAATAAGCCATTCTCAAGTAGCCAAATTACCTATAAGGGAAGCAGAATGTATTCAGCAATATCACCAATAACTTCTAAGAATTGTGTTCTACATAAGGCATTTTTCAGAAGGAAGTATTTATTGTCAGCTTTTTGCTCAGCAAGGTGTAAGTTGGACTGATCATGAAGTTCTTTTTGTAAAATTAGCCATGTATAAAATGTAAAGACAAGCTTGTAATTTAAAATGTATTTACAGCATTGACAACACTAATTATTCAGTAGTCACACACACAAAACAAATTACCAATAAACTGTGTGGTTGAAATGTTGTGTCATCTGTATGACTCTGTACTGGTAGTGTTTGATGACTCTGATTGGTGTAACTACTCTGTGTTTTTTTCCTGTTAAAATAGCTTATTTTGCTTTTTAAAATGATTTACATCTTCAGCTGCACCTGTTGTGCAGATTTAATATAATATAAAATTCTGATTATATCACAAACTAATAGATTCATTGAAGTCTTTTACATGCAGCTGTGGTGAACACGACACTGATTAGTTGCTATTTTAGACTAAACGTCCTGCAGTAGGAATAAATTTTGTTTGCCCTTCTACATTCCTTCACCCAAGTAAACCAACAAACCAAATGGAAGAAGAAAAAAAAGCATCTAAACCAAACACATGTAGTAAGCAAATGTAAAATACACATGAAAAAATGCAGTCATTAAAGGGCTTCTCTGTATACTTATTTTTGTGAACAAACGAAGTCATTCTGTGGGTCAGAATCTACAGTATCAAAGGCTGAGCTTTCCTATTTTATCAGCCTTAAACTCCCTGTGTATAGAATCTGTTGAAGTACATTATAGTTGACCTATCTTACAAGTATTTTAGAAAAGCTTCATTGGTTCTTCCTCAAGAGTTGAATACTTTTTTTCCCTAACAAATATCTAGTGATCAGTAGTTACGACAAAAATATTTTGAAATAACCCTTTTAATATGTTTTTTATTGCACAATTAACATTACAATCCAACAGACATTACCGCTGGTAATGCAGTTTCTAAGCAGAAAGACAAGTTGTACACAATGATGTTTTAAGTAATAGACTTTAGCTTGAATGCTGTAATTGTTAATTACAACCTAAATCATGATATACAGTCTCGTATATGTTTTACTAAAAATTAGATTTTAAGCACTTGGGAAGTTAATTGAAGGGTAAGTGTTCAGGCTTGCAATTTTATTTTAGAAACAAGCTTCAAGGGCAGGTAAATTTTTGGTCACCTATGATGTTTCATAGGACTCTCCCCACATATTTTGAATGGCTACTAGATATGGGACTGTTCATCAAGTAACTTTTTTGAAAAATCACTGAATATTGCAATAGGTATCATCCCTGTTGTTTGGAAGCATACTGTGAGATCTGCTGACCATTCCTGTATACAGCAGAAACAGTAATCCAATTAAACTGTATTTTTTACAAGTATAATGAAGACTTTATAGTAAGTCTCCAATTAGTAAAATTCTCTATCTAGTAAACCAAGGCAGCACAGACCCCTTCGGGAAGCAGACACTTCATCAATTTTAACTAAGAAGGTGCAATTTATTTACCTTTAAAGAATAATTAAGCCATCAAAGGAACTGACACAGATGGTGAGCGGCTGAAATTCAGTGTTTTCATCAAAGATAGGCTGTACACAGCAAAGATAGTAATGAATTAGGCTCAGTCACTGCCCATTTCCATTTGGTGCTGTACACCGAACAGGCCAGGCTGCTTCACTGCAACAATCTCAGTGGGCTCTGCAGTCAGAGTTTTAATATAGGGACAGTTTTTGATACACTTGCATACAGCTTTAGACTGTAATGATTATTCAGCCCAAGGAGAGGCTGTGAAGTCTGCCATTTAGAGTGAAACTCAGTCTAGAAAGGAAGACACGTCTGAGCCACTTCCGTTCTTCCCCTGATGCTGAATAATGGGTTTGTTCTCATAAAATGCTTGAAAAACTTGACACACAGGAATAATTTCATTGAATCAGACTTAGATAAGCCTGCTAATACTTCAGCGTGCTAACTACTTCACAGATCAGTAGCCAGAGTGCAGTAAGTCCTGCAGATGGTGTTGTAAGGGTGGGAAATATCCTGTGTAATTAAAATAGCTGTACTGGGTTACCTGTGATGCAGGTGAGGTGGGGATTATGCACCATCTGCAAATGGATAGACAAAAAAGAATCTGTAAATTAAAAAGAATCTATTATTGTTCATGTAGGTACAGTACAGTAGCTAAAGGGACAGAAAAGCAGGTGGCCAGAATACAGGCCTATGGATGGAAATGCTTGTTGCCTGTGCCTGTAGTTTCCAACCCAGATGGATTGATTCAGTGTGTGGGCAAGAATGCTGAATTGCCTTCCTAATGAAAAGGACCTATTGGCAACAGATACTCCTACAATTTATAGGAAACAGGAAATTTTCCTAAAACTTGCAGACAGAACAAAAATGACATTCTGGTAAGAGTTTTAATGACTAATGAAACAGTTTGAAGGGCTGGATGTAAGCTTGAACCAAAAGCAATTGCTTGCTATCAGAAGTAACATTTACAGGCAGTACTTACTTTACTGCCACATTAACAAAGTAGATTTAACTATTTCTTTTGTAATTCTGGAGTTAGTTCATACACCTTTTACTAGGGTGATGTCAATCTAAAATCAAAATGAAAGAATATTCACACAATAAATAACTGTCATTCATACATGATGCAATAAATGCTTTGCTTGCCATTACTGGTAATGACTTAGATGAAACTCAAGTCTTCAGTGGGTTACAAATAATAGTGACATGCCATTTGTTTTGTGTTTCTACACTTTGGTATTTTTAAGCAGGTATCTCCAAAATGTAACAAGACTTTCCAGTGCTAGGATAAACATTACAAGTACTTGCAAGAATGTCTGAAGGATTTTTGAAACTAGGTAAGCAGTATAGCATATGGCTATGTAAACTCATGGATTATTTGTTGTACTAATCCCACTTGAATTTAAAAAAACAAAGTGACAATTTCAAAATTATTTTGCCATTACTGTTCAGTTACAGCTTGACAGCAACACCAAGGAGATGAAGTCTGTTTTAAGTGCTGCTTTGCTGCCAATTGTGATGTGCTGTGTGGACTTGAACTACTCTGAACGGTGTTGTCTGCTTTTGAGGTGGCCACAATACCCATGTAAACAGGTTTTGACTCACAGTTACATTGAGGCTATAATTCCATGCTATCCTGTTTTCATTAGTGAAGGCACAAGAAATGCCTTTCTGTTCTTTTTATTCTTTCCATCTATGACTTGTGCAAATTCAGGGGGCTGTAGTGTATATCAGGTCAGTGGAATGATTTTAGTTTAAAAATAATGTTTGCCATAAGAAAGGAGGAAAAGGATTTGAAAGGGAGCCTGGATCATTACACCTGAAAAATTTCCATGTCCCCATGACTGCGAGTGTATTAGAGGTGGTGCCATACCACGAGCTAGAATGTCCTTAAACCAGCTTTGCCACTAAAAGACTGGGTCTCGTGAAACCAGCAACATCTAAGATCTGTTATCAAACCTGCTTGGACAGAATACAAAATAAATTCATTGTCTAGTGCATATATAAAGAATCAGTTGCCTACCTACAACCAAAACTTAGTTTAGGTTTGGATAGATTGATATTTATTCAGTGGCAGGCACTGTTACAGGAACAAAATACCCACTATTATCATAGCCAAAGGATAGAGTATTTATCACTGTCGTCTGAAAAGGGAGGTGACGTTTCCTTATTCCCACTCTTACCATTCTGGTACTGCATACTTCTCTTTCAAAATATGGTATTACCACCGGAGTATATTAGGGTTCAGCTGGAAGTCACTAAATTGCAGATACCAGTGCTCCTTGTTTGTTTGGTTTTTTTTAAAACCTTTTCTGGACTTCACATGACAACTGAAAAAGACATCTCAAAATAAATGTTTAAAAAAACCCCAACACAAAAAACCTTAAAAAAATTTTCTACTTTTCAGTTTACCTTAATAAATATAAGAACTCTTTGGTATTTGTGTAATACTATTTCTGGTATGTTCCATTTTATACAATTCAAACCCACAAGTGACAAGATACATTTTCTTCTGAAAGTAATCACTAGCATTTCCAACCAATCATGTCAACAAAGCTTCTTAATTTAATGGCAAAGTTTATTCATTTTTTAACAATTAAAAGACAAAACATTTAAAATTTGCAGTTCAAAACATGCACATTCACCAAATGCCAAATGACATTTAACACTGCATAGAACTGAATGTGTTACTAAAAGAACTATTTAAAAAACAGTGCATTTAACATCCACTTAAAACTAAACCTGAGAAACTACCATAAACACCGAGTCAAAAAATCTTCATTCATGCAGCTTCATAATTTCCATGACAGTTTCAGCAGTAATGGCCTAGTGGAGCTGTAAAACCTCACTTTACCTTGAATGCAAATTCTGCTGTTTCAGACTGACCGCTTCTGCAGTGGTTCATACATATCAAACACTGAAAATTGTAACAAAAATTACACTGAAGTAGAAAAACAATATCGATGCATTTATGGCTTCTATTCTACATTAAAGAAACACCATAAAATATGATTTAAAAAAAAGTCTTGTTCTGGTCACAGCTTTGCAATTACAAA